GACTTACATAAGACGCGACTTAAATAAGCGGAGTTATCGCCGCATAAATGGTTCTTTACGGCTTTATTCTTATTTAATTGCTATAGCTATAATGTTGTTTCGGTTGTTTTTGTTTTAATATGCAAGGCTAATAATTTTACGTTGTTTCAAGTTTTGGGCATGTGTAGTTAGAATTTTTGTCCAAAATTTCTTATTTAAGACGCGACTTAAATAAGAACAGCTAAAAGTCCTGTTCTTATTTAAGTCGCGTCTTATCCAAGACGCGTCTTACATAAGAATTTTGTGCCTTTTATACGACAACCTCGCGTCTTATTTAAGTCGCGTCTTATGTAAGTCGCGTCTTATTTTGTCTCGTATAAATGGCCCTATTGTGTAATAGTTAGTAAAGGCTCACTTGAAATGCCCCCCCCCCCCCCTCTATTTTCAGGTAGTTGAATAACATACTATTTTTGGTAACATAAGAACCCATTTACAAGACTTTAAATGCCCCTTAATTTGTTATTTTACTCTGGCTCTCAAATGCAAGATAATTTTATTCATACAAGAGAGTATTAATGACCTAACCATATTTAATGATTACAATCGACCGTGTTAACATTAGCTGTTTTAGTAACTGTCAGCTTCCACATTGCTGGTCAATTTAGCATGTCGTTTTTTTTGTATATAGGTTTGGAAAAATAATCAAGTTTTGAACAATCACTCTAGATGACGATTACCTGTATATCAAACATTGTTTGCCAACTAGAAAAAGTCAAGTACATCATCTAAAGCTTCAATCATAGCTGCCAAGATGGAGTGATCCACATGCGCGAGATGCCAGACGCGGACACAATCCAGGGGGGTATCACACCACCACCCCTCCCCCCGGAATCAATACAAATATGAATAAATCACTAAAAGAATTACAATGACAGAATTGCAATGTATTTGAAAATATAGAATTTTATTATAGAAATCAAAAGTATTTGTGCTTTTGGTAATAGCTCGTTATTGTGTCTGTGACGAGTGTTCTTTGTTCAGGCTTTCTTGCCATCCTACTTTTCCTATTTTTTATTAAAAATTGCTTGATTTTCCTACTTTTTCCTACTTTTTCTCATAAAATCCTACTTTTTTAAGACAGCTTGGGGAATCAGTATGTTATAGCTCTCGTAATTTGATCTATAGGATTCGTAATTTTTATTCCCTATTTGTGTCCAAGATCATAAGATCACAGGAGGAGAAGAAATACATTTTCCGAGTATAAAATTTCATAGCATCTCTAGAATCATATTCAATAAATTAATGAAGACTCTGAAAGTGCCATTTCCAACGATCTAGAGATTCCAAATATTCAACTCCCATAGATATCTCATATACACTAGATAGCGCATCTCGGAATACAAAACTGAAGCCAAAAATCTCAGCGGTTTCCCCCATGAAAATAGGCGGCGGCCATATTGGTCGTTCCCACTCATCAATGAAATGCTATAGAAAATACTATACTTTTCGAGGCTTTTTTGCATTTCTGGATTAAAAATACCTTTTTGAGGTACGTTCGCCTTGAAATCACAGCTTTTTTGGAAAAGCGTACAAGAAAAAAACATTAATTGGCGAAGTTGTTGTCTTTGAATCGCATTTTAAAGCTAAAAATTTCGAATTACGATATTCTTTATATATTTGGTTTCTGGCACCACTTTATGGAAATGCAAGTTGGTAAGTATAACGTTTCGACTATCGACGTAGGAGTCTGCACTTTCAGTTTGGGCAGTTTTCACTGTAAATCTTCAGTGAAATGTTTGAGACAGTCTGGGTCTGCACTTCCAGCTTGGGCAGTTATCACTATAAATCTTTAGTAAAATTATGTTTGAGACAGAGTCTGCACTTTCAGCTTGGGCAGTTTCATAGTAAATTTTAGTAATATTTAGCTTTCTCTGATACATTCTGTGTAATCACTCACACTGGTGCTTAAAAGGTACAAGTTTATTTAATTTCTTTCTAAATTTTGTCCAGATGAATTCTCAGTGGTCTTTTTCCAAGATGGTAAAATTTAACCTCACAGTAACTCTTGATGATGCTCTTGATGATGCTCTTGATGATGCTCTTGGTCAACTGAAATATAACATGCTTTTCACCAACTGGTGAGTCAAAAATATGGTGATCTAGCTCAGTAAAAAGATTGTGTATGGACAATGAAGCCAGAACATATGGACAATGAACAATGAAGCCAGAACAGAAGTGGTCAGAGCATATAAGTGTCTGCTTTCTGAGAACAGAACAGTATGGACAATGCAACCAGAACAAAAGTGGTCAGAACATAATTATAAACATCTGCTTTTTGGGTGACCACTTTTCTTGATGAACATTTTGTATGAACTGTTTTCATAGTACTTCATCCTTAGGGATGTTTATCATGTTAATGCAAGTCTAATTTCAATCAATATAATAGTATACTGTAAAAAACTAAAAATAAATTGCTTACTGATGAAATGTCCTGGGAAGTTTTCTTTTGATTTTTGATTCTGTCACAATTGACCCTTCACTATTACTTCTTATACTTTTTGCATCAGGAATGACTTTACCCATTGCTATGAAATTTTCTGAGTTTAATTCAAATTTTTAATTTCAATTGGCACCAAAACTTCTTCAGGTCTCCAATTTTTTTTTAAAATTGGACATTTTTTAATGATATTTACAGTAACCACTAAACTCAAAAGGCAAAAATTGAGAGTTTATCATGTTTTCAATTCCTGAGAGTACTGGCAAATTTATTTTATTTTTTTAGAAAGGTTTAATTATTGTGCATCTGATGAGTCAAAGAATTAGAAAACACTATTACACAAAGTCAAAAGTAATACTTTATTATAACAATAGAATTATTTATACAATAGTGAGTGCAACTATATTTAAGACTATAAAATCTACTGTGCATCAAGCAGTTTATCCCATTGACCTTACAATATACAATAATGCAAGAAGTAATGTGTCTCATTACAAAATAGGGTTTCCCAAAGCAGTTCTAAAATTCAGCTGATTATCAATGACCTATGCTAGCTGTTAATAATTACAGTAATTTGGCAGTTTGATTGCTTGAATTAAAAACAAAAGGTCTTAGTCCGTGTGTTGTGACCCGATATCGTTCACTTTCATTAAGCATGTCTTAGAACTGAAATATTTTTACGGGAACTAACACTTTCGAACACGCTGAGTTCAAATCCGAAAAGTTCCCACTCCGTAGACCCGCAGTTTTTTCACAAAATGCAATTTTATCTTCACTAATTTTACAGCAAATTTTTTCATTGTTCAACGATACGGATCGATGATGATACAAGATTATGTCACTCAAAAGGACCAATTTCAATTAACAATTTGTCCTTTTAACAAAAGATCGGTTTTGCTCGAATCATTTTGAGTTATGCAATCTTATGCGTGTTGGACGTAAACAACATATCTTGTCTACAACTTTGAGAAGGTACAGATAACGCTTTCAAAAACCCTCAGTTCTAGAGATATCTCTATAAAATCACAAGGACATTAATGTCAAGTCTTTTAGCTACGTCACTGGCCAGAAAAGTAACTAATTTAACGCGATCAAGATATCTAAAACAAAAGTAACGCAAAGCCAATGTAACGGCAAAGACAACGTTAAAACGAAATATTGTCGAATGCTTGCAGGTAGAAGACTTACGACAGGATCAATCTTAAATAACCTTAAGCTCGTATAGGAATAAATGTTCACATCAAAGACAAAGATCAGTCACAAAGTATAAAATATGCTCTGTAAACTTACCGCGAAGTGGAGAAATGTGTGCATGAGCTGTTTATTCGATGATTTCGACGAATATAGAAGCCCTCTTTCCAATAATACTCGCTTATCGCACAGTATAACACCAACTGATATAATAGTTTAAATGCAATGATAAGTTATCTCTTGAATTACGTCTTGGAAACCGTGTTGGAAATTTCCATGCTGATCCATTACATATAGATTCCCGTTTTATATCTTTGTATAAAACATTTTGATCCCATGTAAGGAATTATTTCTCGGCCTAGAGACATAGCCCAAAGACTTGACATTAACGTCCTTTTGATTTTATAGAGATAGTTCCAGAACTAAGAATATTATAAAGAATTGTCTGTACCTCCTCAAAGTTGTAGACAAGATATGTTGTTTACGTCCAACACGCATAAGATTACATAACTCAAAATGATTCGAGCAAAACCGGTCTTTTGTTAAAGGAAGAATGGTTAATAAAATTGGTCCTTTTGAGTGACATAATAGTGTATCGTCATCGATCCGTGACGTTGAACAATGAAAAAATTTGGTGTGAAATTAGTGAAGATAAAATAGCATTTTGTGAAAAAACTGCGGGTCTAGGGAGTGGGAACTTTTCAGATTTGAACTCAGCGTGTTCAAAAGTGTTAGTTCCCGTAAAAGTATTTCAGTTCTAAGACATGCTTAATGAAAATTGTTTTCTAGGCACTTTTCGAGGTCACAACACACGGACTATCTAGGACTCAACAGAAAGAAATATTTCTTAACATCAAATATTAAAGATAGTTTGAAG